TGATACCAAACTCCCCTACGTGAACAGCTCACTATCTGCAGTAGTCTGCTTGAGAGAAGGAACTAACCCAGGTCTGTTGACGATCAGCGCAAACATAGCGGCAAATCCGCTGTCACTCGAAGCCACTTCTACCAAGACCTCCTGTGGCAACACTCATATTCGGACGTGACAGCTGCTAATATCACGTGCACTTACTGTTTCTGGATATCCTCCGGCGCTTGATCTTGATCCTACGCCTAATCTGGGTGGGTACTGTTACTTTCCTGGCCTGCGGCTGCAGGTTTGCGGGACAACTAGGGAAAGTACGCTCCGGGCAAAAGCAAAAGGGACTTAGGGAAAGGTACCAAGGTAGGTACATGAGGCTGGGGGAACTAGCGTAGGATCAACAGCATCTCGCTCCAAGCTCGTGTGTTATCGCGCTTAAAACGCGTGTGTTGAGCCACTGACGATACAGTGCCAAAGACACCATTAGTGACATCGTTCACCAAGGTCCAGGAGTGTAGACGCCCATCTAGAGCTGACTCTACCCCTCTGACCACGACTGCTCGGCTATATCCAAGTTTTGATATGCTGCTGCTTGGGCTCCATGTTTTCTTGGATCATAACAACTCCACGGGGTAGGTATGGCCGAGATCTGGAGTTCTTGGCGACAACTGTGGGTCACTGCTCCGTGATTGCTTTTATTGGTACGGACATTTCGTCTTCAACTGTGATGACCGGGTTGAACTTGTGCATGGATGTATTTGCGCATCGACTGGCGGTGTTTCGATGGGTTCAGTAGACGTGTATCGAGGTACTCAGGCACTTGTCATCGCTTCGCGGCCGTAAAATGCGTGAGTTGTGTAGCTTTGCAGTGAGAACAAACGTCACAGGCGTGGCGAGACTAAAGAAGGGTCGGGTCGATAGCGTACCGACCCTTCTCATTTCCATGCCTTGCCCGTCTTCCTCGGGCAGCGAGACCGTCGCCCACTCCCTATCCTATCTTTCCCCTCTTAGACATTTACGCCACACATCCCTCTAGTTGCATCCCCGCACGCTCTAGTGTATGCACTACCGTTTTCTACTGCGCGATATGGTCAGACGGTATAGCGCAGGAAATAGCAAACCTAAGCGGACCTCATTCTTCAACACCATGAAGCCGGACGTTCTGGACCTCGGGATGGTTCTCGACGTCGCTCTCGCCGGACCCAGGATAGCGGAACCGAAGCAGAGCCCTGCGCTCAATTATTCCGGAAAAGCAAAATGGTTTTGCATGAACTATCGGCCTTGGATACCTCCAGCTTAGCTGCACTGCCGTTGTCGTACCTTGCTTCCTTGCGGGTGGTGACGTCTCTACAGGGCTTATCCTCGGGCCAGCCCCTTCCGCATAACGGAACCCGCTGTCAAGGCAGTGACGGGCTTCGCTCCTTCCAAAGTGTGCTCGAAAGTCGTTCAGCATGGCTGGGCATTAACACGACGGATTGGCAGTCAGAATACCAGACCATGTACAATCTCTCTTGTCATGGCAATAGAGGCTTCTGTAATAGGCCGACTAGCCAAGCTGTCAGCTATCACGTTGTAACAAGCGTGGGTCGGAACGGTGTTGTGAGCCAAGCGAGAGCGACGTTGGTTTGATCTTGCGCATTTGAGGCTATCCCCTCACTCAGACTACTGCAAGAGGATGCGTGATGAAAGAGAAGCCTGGCTGGTTCGATTCAGTGTATGGGGCTTGCACGTCAAGTCTTCCGTGTTCGAGCTTGCATTGAGTATACATCCCAACTAACTGCCCACTCCTTCACATACGACCATAGGACAATGAGAATTAGGCTTCCCGTCCGCTCAGCCATATACAAGCATTGTACCGGCGGATTAGTAGTTAGGTGGGTGACCACTAGCGAATCCCCGCTGTTGTATGTTTTTGCTCTTTTTGACATGCCGACTTTTTTTTTTAACCGAAGTCGAACAGGGGAAAGCGCCGCCGAGGATAGTGGAGACACCGAGGTTGGCTGGATTGGCTCATCACATACGGGTGCGAGCGAGTGACCAGAGACGCAGTAAGAAGGCGGATAGTAAGTTATATTTTGCAGCAAAAGCCGCCTGATGAACAAACACAAAAGGCCAGTATGCCCAGAGACAGAGAAGAATTCGATCTTGCAGACTTGTCAGCAACGTCGCTAGATGAAGAAAGTGGCAGAAGTACCATTGTTAGATCGTTGAGGTATCTTTGAACGCCGTAACCCATTTTGTCTACATCGCGGCGCTTGAGGATGCTGCCGCGACGCCCAAACTCCATGCTTCCATTCCATGCTATTCCGTATACACTCTTCCATGTAGCCGAGGTCCAGATCTTCCTATAGATTCTCCTATAACGCAGGCGCGCTTGACAGCGCGTAGAGCAGCAGTCCAAGCCACCTCAATGATTCCTGAAATTCTTCTTCTGGTAGAACAGATCCGTCCTACTACTACCCAGGTTTATAATCTTCGGACATCCATCCCGGTCCTTCTCCAGGCGCGTACACTCGAAGCAGTAGAAGGCGTCTGAGATGCCCTCGCCACCGCATACGACGCACTTGTTCTGGTAGTTGCCGAAGGAGCATTCGTCGCAGATGCGGGCGAGGGTGGTCGGGCGCACGTAGGAATCGCATACGGGGCATTTGCCGTCGCACTTGTCGCAGAGGCGGCCGATGGAGATGCCAGACTGCTTGCGGCACATGACGAGATCGCTGCGACAGGTGTTAGTATGCGCGACTTTTTGAGGTGGGAGGGTACTTACGGATGATGGCGAGACATGGCGGAAGGTGATGAAGGGGGTGACGAATATGGACGTGTTCAGTATCGCAGGTTTAATAGAGCGTGGTGTCTCGTCGTGACGGGGGCGTTGGTATGGCGGTGGCGCGTGACAGTGAGACAGAAAGTCGGTCGTGAAAGTCAGCTTCGGTGGTCCGCTGCTAGCGTGAACTGAACCCATGCTCCGTGCACGAAGCTTCCATCGCGAGATCCCTGGGCCACCTATACCAATGACACCCACGCGTGCTTATCTGATACTGCTAAGCACATATTAGAAACATCCAGAACCCCCATATACTGCGCGCGATACTGTCATGGACGGACCCATTTCATCCGCTGTAGTCCTCCCGGATGAACTATCACTGCCAGCCTCACCCCCAGTAAACGGCCACAAGAGACGACAAGAATCACTATCAGAAGACGCTTCGAAGCGACCGCGACTCGAGAATGACACTGCAACCCAAGAAAGACGTGATTCTACCACCAAAGATACAAAAGACGACAAGCCCGCCCCTGTGCGACGCGAGAGAGGACGAGAGCGCAGATTATTCGGCGCCGCCTTGGGTGCACTCTCACAGAACTCTGCTACTACAGGACAGAAACGTCGCGCCGAGATCGAGAAGCGACAGCTAGCTCAGCGCAAACAGGACGACCAGGAGAGCGAACAGAGGAAGGCAGAGCGTGCAGCCAGGCGCAAAGAGCAACGATGGAAGGAGCACAAGCTTCTCGAGAGAGATATGGTATGTCTTGACGGCTTACACCTGACGATTTGGCTGGGTGCTTACAATTCATAGATGCGGGCACGTCACGCAAATCTACTCGCCATGGCGCACTTCCTCCAGACCAAGTCAGAGCCACACCTCGTACGTCGCCTTCGATCTGATCATCCTGGTCCACAGCTGATCGTTTTCTCAGTACTACAAACCCTGGGAAACTAGTCCCGACGAAGAAGACCGCATACGTGACCAAATAGCCGAAGCCGAAGAAACCGTCAAACGCGAGATAGAAGAGTACGAGGCTCGCGAACAACCGGATAATCTGCGGAGACGGCGTGCATCCGAGGAAACAAAGGGTGATGCAGAGGGTGCAGAAACCGGTAAGAACCATGATGCACATGCACCTCAAGAGACAACCACCACCAATGGCGAGACTAATGGTAGCGCCATCTCCCCCAAGGACCTGGACATGAAGGACCACCAGCCCGATACCCCTGACACCAATGCAAAAGTCGAGCGCGCCACTGAGGACATACAGAATAGCCACGGTGCAACTCACGAGACCGTAGCTGACACAACCATGAAGGAAGATGACGACGAGAACGGAGAGGATGTTGTCGAAGAAGCCGCCGAGGACACCGTCATCTATTGAGCATCACCCGGAAGCCCATACCTTCTTGCCTTTACCCAGGACCGGCCCGATAGATCGCTGTTGGCGTGTCTCGATTGAAGTTGTTCGCAATATCGCCCTTGGTCCTGTCGCAACTTCTGCCAACCGGCCGCCCTGACTTACGGGGTTTGGTTCTTCCACCTTGGATATGCGACCGTAGCATCATCAAAGTCCTAGCTGCGATAGTCACAAAGCTTCGTAAATTAATCAAAATATGGTCAATCGTGTCACGGCTCCTGCCATGTCACAAGTGCTGCATTATCCGTCGAGTATACGTCCAGGGTATAGCTTATGTATGCGCTCCGGGCAGCACTGTACTCCTTCCGAAAATCTGGGTCACGCACATTTTTCTGCATATACCATTCCGGCACGGACGCCGGCAAACAGCAGCTTACAGTACTCGCTTGCGGTTGTTCTCGCCTCATTCTGCATGCACAACGACTTACCTAGAACTCGGGTTGATAGATTGGACCCCACGGCGCGTGGGATTATCCTAGAACCGCCCATCTCCGAGCATACTATAGTAATATACATGCAACACTATCTTCAACACAAGGAACACTGACTTTGCGCTTCATGTGCAGGACCTACGCGTTGTGTAAACGACGAGAATCATGAAAGTGATGTCAGGACTGAGATGATTACATACCCCACAATTGGGGTACCTCGGCATACCCGAATCTAGCAACCATCATCATGAATCTACAGCTTCGTCGTCAAGAACGACTCGCTTGCTCACCGCCATCGACACACAAGGCTATCCTGACTATCGCTGCTATAACCCGAAATTCCAACCACCCTCGTCGCAATATATTCCCTTTTACCCTTCGTCGCACAGACATCACGTCATGCCTGTCCAACCAATTGACCCTGTGTCGGACCCTCGTGTCGAACACAAGACTGCGAAGCTTAATGGACAAACATACCATTACCTATATGCGGTACCAAAGTCTGGCGAGTATACGCATACCGTATTTCTGGTGAGTGGTGTTTGACGGCTGTTATGCGATGCCGGCAAATTCCGCACCTTCTTCTGTTGAAAAGGGTACTTTGGAGTGAAGCAACATGATTGTACTAACTGTTTTGGAAGATTCATGGTTGGCCCGATCTATCGTTGGGATGGAGGTATCAGATCCCTTTCTTAGTCGACATGGGGATGCGGGTTGTTGCGCCGGACATGATGGGATATGGTGGCACGGTAAGGCAAATCCAGAGGTCTTGCGACTCGGCGTACTATACCGAAACTGAGATGTTCAGGATGCTCCCAAAGTTCCGCCAAACTCCATCAAGCTGTATGGACTCAAGAGAGCATCAGATGACATTGCTGCACTGGCTAAAGAAGTCAATGCGCCGCAGATCATTCTTGGTGGTCATGACTGGTATGTGTCTACTGTGCGGATGCACTGAGACGTTCATCCACTGACGCCTCGCTTAGGGGAGGTTTTGTCGTCTGGCGGGCTGCTCAATGGTAAGTCCCGGGCATCTTGACTACCATATACGGTACCAACTCACTACCCCAACAGGTACCCCAAGCTCATTACACACGTCTTTTCAATTTGCACACCATACACTGCTCCTTCCGACAAGTACTTCTCCACCGAAGATCTGGTCAAAGGCCCATTACCCCAATTCGCTTACCAGATTCATCTCGCTTCGGGCGAAGTGGAAAAGAGCGTCAACGATGAGCAGTCGATCAGACAATTTCTGAGTGGCATGTATGGGGCCAAGGGACCAAACGGCGAGGTCACGTTTGTTCCCGAGAAGGGGATACTGGTCGAAAACTTGCCAAAGATCGGTGAGAGCAAGATTCTGAATGGAAAGGTACGTGATGATCTCTTATGCTGGAACGCGTGTCGAGTGCGGGATCGAAGGGAAAGAAGAGTGGATGATTGCCGTGAGAGACCAATGTGTTACCTTTTGAGGGGATGCTATGGGGTGGTTGCGTCGCTCGACAAAGGCATTACCACTTCCGACATATCATGCATGAGGCGGGAAAGGGTTCCAAAAGATCGACTCGGCTCGACATCAAGATCGTCCCGCGCGAAGGACATGTCGAGATCGATCCATTGCATCATCTTGTTTCAGAAAGACAGCTGAAGGATTTGCCAACAAGCGATGGTGTACTAACAGCGAATCAGTACCTAGACTACTACGTCAAGCAGTATCTCAACCACGGGATCCACCCCACATGTGAGTCCTCTCTCCCCAACCTATCACTCATCCACCATATCTACACACCACTTCAAGCTCAACCACTAATCCCTCAACCCAGTGAACTGGTATCGCCAACGCCGCACGAACTGGGAAGAAGACCAAGCGCTGCTCGACAAGAAAATAATCAGTCAGCCCGTCCTCTTCATCCAAGCCACGCATGACGGCGTGCTGAAGCCCGCAATGGCAAAGAGCATGGACAATTTCATTCCTAAGCTTACGAAAGGAGAAGTGGAGGCTGCGCATTGGGCGTTGATCCAGAAGCCAGAGGAGACGAATGCTATTATCCGCCAATGGCTTGAGGCGGAGGGGTTGGTGGTGAAGAAGAAGCGGGAGAGTAGCCTGTAGGAAGGGGTTTAGAGAGACGGAATGTTGAAGGTCTTGGGATAATAATTGACCCGTCTCTTGAGTAAGTTCGTCTAGCTTGGAGTACCCAAAATCTCACCATGCTGCCCAGCGAGCGGTGTACGCATGCCTGATTACTTTGTCCTGCCCGTCGACCGAGAACGGCATATCATAGTTTACCGGGTACGAACTGACAGGCGATGGAGATTGCGGCTCTATCCGTGCTGGTGGCCTGACATGTGCCTCATGGCTTCCTTGTCCACGCAGCGATATCGCATTGCGCTAGACAAGCACGCGGAATCCTTTGCACTTCTCCGATGTGGAGTCAAAGCTGACCGTTGAGTCTTGACTATAGCTTGTCCAAGATAGCGGACCTTGATACAAATTTGACGGTTGCTAGAGACGGCACTTGATCGGTAAACGCAGGTGTGCGTCAGCGTACAGATGCGTTGTCTCGTTGAGACACGTCTTGACGCCGATACTCATCATCGACTACAAAGGATGCCGCGGCGGCACGTTGTGTGGACACATGATCTGCATCTCTTGCCTGATACACAGGTACCTGCGGGCCATCAGCACACCACCGACTCAGCTCTTCCTCTTCATTTCACATAGTTCCGCTTCGCTTACGATCAACGGCAATTGTCAAGTACCTGTAGCTCAAAAGTGAAGCGTGAGATGTGTGGTGGTATCTCGGTATCTCCGGAGGTTCTAACCATAAAAGTACCGGCAAAAGTAGTAGTAGATACGCCGCCTTGGAATTTTGGCACCGGGTTGTTCCTCTGGACTCTTGTCCCGCCTTGACTCAAGTCTGCGGATTAGCGCTTCATGACATTCTTCCACGCGAAGTTCATGGGCAAGAAGATACCTTGGTGACGGAGTGCTCGAGACTTTCCTGGTAAACTGTTTGGAGATTATGGCGGATGCAGGTCCCCTCCGTCCGTGCGCAATCCAGAGTTCTGGTACCCACTGCGTAATACAGCCAGTCAGGAAGCGGCGTTGTGCATTGTGGCAACCTCGTGGTCTTGAGTAGGTTGCGACATGCAATGCTTTTTTTGCGACAACATGTCGATACGGAGAGGGGCTTCCGCACACTCCGCAGCTTGTTCTGGGCGGGGTGGTGCGATAGGGGAAACGGTACCTCTACATCCGACAGACCGCCTGTCTGAGGAATACGTATCCTTAAGCCCGGGGTCATGGTGGTTGGATGCTGTGGCGTAGGCAGCTTTGCGGAAAGCGAGTAAGGTGAAATTGCTCACCGCCGCGGCACCGTCGTGCAAGCGCTTGACATATATTCGATGTAGATCGCGAAAACGTGCTCAGGTTGACAAAGGGTTACAGGAAACTCTCAAACTGGGTATGATGGTCTTCGCTCACCGCCTACTGCTTTCAGAGGGCCATGCATGAGGGTCGTGGAGTCGGTCGCTTGGTGGAGCGACATCCCGGTGTTCTTTTACGTTCATGGACAGGGTCTATAGTAGCGTTGAATATACCTGGGGCCTTGAGGTAGACGCATGTGCAGTGCGAACGAGAAGTACCTTGCTTATCAGTAGGGCCATTATTCTATTGCATCTCGTAGCTCGTTGCGCCGGAGCTGGGAGCGCACTGGCTGGATAGGTACATTAGGTATATTCGTTAGTCGAGTCCTAGGCGCATCCTGGTGTGCAAAGAAGTTAATCTCAACACAACTGGGCATGCTCGGATCCACCATGGTGCTCTGCCGTGCAACGTTTGATGGAACAGAGAATGAGTGGTCGCCAACGTTTGTTTTGCCGTCCCGCTGCTGCAGTTTGCTCGGCAGCGTGCCAGACGACAGTGGTTGTCGAATGGGAGAGCAGGTCGGGCGGTCGGAGAGATACGTAAACGCTTGTTGCGGGTCGGCTTAGTAACGACATCTCATCTTGCTCGTGGCCGCTTCCCTGTCAAGTGCTGGGCCTGCCATGTACCCGCGATCACCGTTGTTCCTCTGAATCCTTCACGACCGACACTCGACCTCATTTCTCGGTCGAGATGGTAGATCTGGGACGGCATTGCAGCGCGCTACCGGTGCTTCTTCGCCATTGTCATGCAGATGCTGGCACATGTCAATTTCCATGGCTTCTTGGTGGCCACACCTCGGTCAAAGGTGCAGCTGTTGACTATTAGCTATCCCTTGGGCCAGTCGTTCGTGCAGTTGGCGTTGAGGTCGCTCCGATAAGAGGCCCTTGTACTTTCTTGTCCCGGCAGTTCGGTCGCGCGTAGGACGAATTTCGTCAATGGGCTGCTCGGTAGCCAAACCATGACCCATGCCCACCCTCCAACCGACATTCAGCCAACGGGTCTGCTACCACACACACCACAGTTGCCCCAGGAGGATCCCGCTAAGGGGCCGCACTACGGGACTGATTCCATGCTCCCCAGAGTAGTCCAGGCTGGAGGCGCACCGTTGGGCGTGAGCCGTTTGCACATGGGCAATATATCCGGGATTTTATATTGCAAAAGTGCCTTCGGGAAGTCTTCTGGAATATCAGCCAGATACGCTAGCCAGTCAGCGGTCGAATTTTCCCGTCGGTATGCAGGCCCTAAGAATCCAAGATTGATGATGCACCGGGGGCAGAGGACGACTTATGGTTTGAGCTTTGGCTTAGCGGTAACGACATGCTAACGCCGAGACAGGACAGCCTGCATATCAGGCTGATGTTTCGCGCGTCCTGCTCAGGGATCTGTGGTTCTGCAGGGCCACTACAACCGACAGGTTCGCTGCCGTAAATCCCAACACAACCTTTGGCAGCGGGCTCCACAGCCGTGCAGTGTGCCTTATCGCTGTTTCACAACGCCGGCGGGTTTCTGATAGACGGCCACTACACAAGACAAGACGTGTTCAAGATACACACTGCGTTATGACATTGCTCCTATATCGCATCTTGCGTGTGCACGTCCCGGAGCTATACGGTGTTGATCCGGCAAAACGAGTCTAACAATGCTTGAGTCCCCAGATACTAGCTCGCTGGGCGAATAACAAGAGCTCCCGGTCGTGTACCCACAAGAAGATCTAGCCTCATATATACACACAGAGTAACGGGATAAAGAAAAGACTACGCGAGGCCTACCGTACCAAGTAGCTCTGGTCGCGCATCCCTATCCATGCTCGTCCCGCCAGTTTGATACGCCTAGCAAATGACGTGGAACCTTTGAATCTTCCCTCATGCGATGCCATTATCTCGCCGATGCACCAACCTGAGGCAAGCCCAGCTTGTGCCAGGCCACCGTTGATCGAAATGGGCCTTCTCAACAACTATATCAGCCTCCACGCTCCCGTGGGGTGGGCTTCTGTTAGCTATCTCTTCCTCACTTCTTCCCGCTCCATTGCCACCATCCCCCATACTACCAAAATTTTCTCGTAATGGCTCCCTCAGCTCTCGCAGATATCTATCCAATCCCAACGAGGCACTACTCCAAGTCCTCGACTGTCGTAGCTTCGGTCTTACATGGGCCAAGGGATTTGCGGCTCGTATGCCTTCCAATTTCGTTACACATCCCACGTCTACCCACTACTCGTGGGGGTTTTGGTGTATATTGAGCATCTAAACGTGAAGCTAACGAATCCAATTAGGAAACTCGTACCATTACGGATCCCGCCGCCAATGAACTCCAGATCGCTATCAAGGCCACTGGACTGTGCGGAAGCGATTGTTCCTACTACAGCAAGTTCTGCAACGGTGATCTGCAGGCTTGCGAGCCGTTGTCACTAGGCCATGAGTCTGCTGGGGTTGTGGTTGCCATCGGCGAGAGTGTTACCGGCTACCAGATTGGCGATCGTGTTGCTCTGGAGGTAGGTGTGCCGTGCGACAACTGCAGGTCATGCCAACGGGGACGCTACAATCTCTGCCCGAAGATGAGGTTTCGGAGTAGCGCCAAGTCTGTGCCTCACTTCCAGGGGACGCTTCAGGAACGCATCAACCATCCCGCGAAATGGTGCCACAAGTATGTCGTGCATGATCGACCCGAACCCGAACTTAGCTGACAACTTAAATCAGACTACCTTCGCACGTCTCCATGGAATCGGCTGCGCTTCTGGAGCCTCTTTCTGTTGCGATCCATGCAACAAGAAGAGCCCAGATCGAGCAAGGTGACACGGCCATTGTTTTTGGTGCAGGCACAGTCGGCCTTCTGACAGCTGCGATGGCCAAGGTGTCTGGCGCCACAACCGTTGTCATCGCAGACATCGACTATGGGCGAATCAACTACGCCTTGGCGAACGGCTTCGCCCACAAGGGCTATATCGTGACCCCACAGAAACATGGCAACGAAACTGCTGAGAAGTTCGCCGTAGCCAAGGAGTTGGCTGCCGATGTTATGCAGATTGCATCCCAGAACGAGCCAGACTTTGAAGGTGCTGATGTCACCTTTGACTGCACTGGAAAGGAAATCTGCATGCAAGCTGGACTATACGTAAGTCTCTCCAGGAAAAAATCGCAAACCTAATCCTAATTTCTCGTAGGCGACAAGGCCTGGCGGCAAGCTCATCATGGTCGGAATGGGTACGCCAGTTCAGACACTACCCATGTCAGCATCTCATCTGAAAGAGGTCGACATCATTGGCATCTTCCGCTATGCCAACACCTACCCCACTGGTATCAAGATCTTGTCTGCCGGTGTACTTCCGAGTCTTGACAACATGATCACTCACAGGTTCCATGGGTTGACGTCGACAAAGGAAGCTTTCGAGCTCGCGGGCAAGACGGTCGACAAAGACGGCAAGCTTGTTCTCAAAGTCCTCGTGGAGATGTAAAGAAGCGAACGGCCCAGGAAACCACTAATATGTACATTGAATTGTGTGGCATTCATAACGACATGATAGAAACGACATAGAGAGATCGTCCGAAAGGCGGCGACCGCGGTCAGGCGTTTTGAAAGTCTGGAGCAAGACTAAGATACCATTCGCTTTTGGGTTGGGTTGGATTTGGAGTTATGGAGTGTATTTGGCGATTGACGCAAAGATCTGGAGGCTAGGCCTGACCATGAATGATAATGCCATAATCGTACTCCGATGATAAACGCTCGCTCCGGTTCGTGATCCTTGATTCTGAAGTCTAAGAAAGAGGAGTGTAGTGAAAGCTGGATACCTAGGTAATGACGGATCTTTCCCGTGGAAAGCGCGTCGCGCTGGAGTCGCGTTGACACTAGCGCTGAACGGGTAGCGCCTTGGCACAACCCCACGAATTGTGGCAGCTGCAGCCTAAGCAAGCTCCCCACCAAGACCATATCATTGCAATTGCCTTGCTGCTCGAACACCACTCCGACCTCCTACCACTATCTCGACCATCGTGAATATCCTGAACGCGACACCGAACTACACTGCAGCAAATATGGCCGAATCATCAGGAAATCCACTCGTTTCGACCACCCGCGCCTCTGACGCAAGTCCGACAGTACAACTTCACCCGCTGGTACTCCTCACAATAACAGACTGCGTAACACGGCACACACTACGACAGCAGACAGGACCAGTAGTCGGAGCCATACTAGGCGCGCAAGATGGTCAGAATATCACGATGGAGGTTGCTTTCCAAGCAAAGCTCCTACCAAACCAAGACGGAGAGACAGTACTAGACGACGAGTGGTTCAGCAAGCGTATCGAAGACTGTAAGTTCTCGTCTATACCTTATATTTACACAACTGGATGAAGCTAACCTGAGTGTAGTCAAGGACGTACACAAGGAGCCACAATTGGACATTGTAGGCTGGTTTACCCTCGGTCCCGCCTCCGGCCCAGAACCCCACATCCTTCCTATCCATTCGCGCATATCAGAAGTCTACACCGAGTCTCCGCTGCTCGTACTCTTCCACCCTGAAAATGCTTTCTCCAAAGAGACTGCGGCCGGAAAGCTGCCTCTCACCGTCTACGAGTCCCTCTCCGTCAACACAACGAGCGATCCGAATGACAAGGCTATGGATATCGACGGGGCTGTACAGGCGAAGTCAACCAAGTTTAGAGAGCTAGTATACTCGATTGAGACTGGCGAAGCGGAAATGATCTCTGTCGATTTCGTCGCGCGGGGTGGTGGCAACGCTACTGCAGTAGAAGGCACAGCAAACGTGGCCGGTGCAGCGCCGGAGCCCTCAAGAACCGATGAGGTTACTGGGAAGCGGAATACACGAGGAAAGCAAAAGGAGAAGGAGAAGGAGAAAGAAAAGGATGCGCCCATCGACGAGTCGGTCATCTTGAACGCCGACGACGAAGAAGGTAGGTTCAGCGACCTTGAATCTCACTTGGTACAGACATACTGACTTTAATACAGTTCTCTCTTCGCTTACAGCCAAGATGAACGCCATTCGCATGCTCAGCCGACGAATCATGCTCCTACGCGCATACATCGACTCGCTCCCAGCTTCGTACCTCTCCGACCCGTCCCTACCAGTCAACGCCGCGCCAGACGCGCAACATCCCCTGCCTCTAGACCACTCGATTCTCCGCAGTGTATCTGCCATGCTCGCCCGCCTGAATATCCTCGGCCCGCCAGACTCAGCCGCTTTCTCGCTTGAGTCCCAGCAAGAAGCATCGGATGTGCAACTAGTCAACCTGCTATCATCCATTACAAACTCCGTCTCTCTAGCGAAGGATCTCGGCCGGAAGAGCTCCATCGTCGAACATGCCAAGACCCAGGGCAAGAACCGCATGGGCGGGTATGGCGGAGGTGGCAACTACGGCGGCGACGCCAACTTCTTCAATACTGTCATGAGCGGAGATTCTGGTGGCGACAGGTGGTGATCCCTGTCGACCCACCAGCATGAATGAACGGGTACGTTGGAGTCTACATTGGTCTAGAAACGAATATCCTGAGCTAACGCAGACTTCTAGGCCATTTACGTTGCTGATGGTGCTCTAGATCGGCAAGGCGACGGAGCGTATGCGTGATGACTGACGGCCGTCATCCCCATGCGCTGTTCGATCCAGACGATATTCCCGACAACTTCGACTGGGAATTTGTCAACCAATGGTATCATGCCGTGTTCGCGATCCTCAGCATGGGGCCAGCTTATCTGCTCTTGTTTATAGTGAGCCCGATCATGTTCCCACTGATTATACTCGGGCTATGTTACTGGACAGGGTGGGGGACGTATCGGATCGTACGCAGATTGGGTCTGGCTACCTTGCACATGCTGGGGGCTGTTTTACACGCTTTACGTGATCTGATGCGTTTAGCTCAGCGATGAGATTTATGCATAGCGTTCGGCGCATGAGTGGGATTTGATAGACATGGCTATGAATGGCAGTGCGTAATGGACCTGCCGGTATATGAGTAATGAAGAAAGGTACATCCATTCACACCAATATTCAGAGCTTTATGGCGCCTGGATCAAGGGACATTTTGACACGCTGAAGCCTACATTGACGCTAGAGGTTTCTGATCTGCTTGTTTTGTCCTGATGTAGGCTGTAGACCTGTTCAGTATGAATTACCAATGAGACGTAGCTCCCAATGCATCGGCCCTTGACGACCTTTGACTCTTATTGAAACCACCCGTTGCCTCCTACTCCACCACCACCACCACCACCCGCCCTCACCATCTGGGGTTCAGCAATAAACCTCCCATCTGGTCCTTCGGACGCTTTCGCCTCCCACCGCGAAATAAGGAGCAAGTCACTGTAGTACTTGTTCTTATTAGCATCTTCTTGTAGTCGCTTTTTGAGAAACTTGCGTTGTTTGTTGTAGACTGTGCGTGTTGAGTTGGGACTTGGTGGTGTTGTAGGTCGAGTGGGTGTCGATGGTGGAGTATGAAGAGCGTCCGAAGGACCATCTACCCACATGTGAGGCGACTTGGTCGGTGTGCAAGGGGTTGAGGGGGTTGGCGTATCCTGAGAGATGTCGAGGCTGCGAAGTATCAAGTTCAGATCCTCCATTTCGGAGTCTGATTGTCGTTGTGGCTCCGTGGACTCATTGACGACTGCCCAGAATGCGTCGATCATGAGTTCTTTCTGCTCCTTCGCATGTTTCTGTTCCATACTGAGACCATCCATGCTGATTTTCGAAAGCGTGGATGACGCTGAGGCTTCAGGCCCCCATGCGATCAGATCGTTACCGTCGATCTGTAACGTAGTGTTCTCTTCTGGAGATTTAGCAATCATAGGCATCCCGCCCTTCTCACTGTCGCTGTCGTTGACGTGATCGTTGCTTTCCCAGCTCCAACCATTCTGGTCGAAGTCTAAATCTCCGGCCGTGGGTTCCATCTCTTCTGGTGAAAAGTGGTTGAAGATCCAGCTTCCATCGTCGTCATCGAGTGGGTGCGAGTAGTCGGTACTGACAGGGTGGATTGGATCGGTGCTCGCAATGTAGTCGCCGTCGTAATCATTCTCATCCATTTCCCTCCAGTCCTTGTTGTGCTTCTTCGGATCGACGACGTCTTCCGGTCGTACTTCCTGGGTCAGGGGCGAGCGAGCCGTCTGATGATAGGTAATGCTTACCCGAGCCACGCTTTTCTTAAAAGCGTGTGAGGGTATCTGCATGTTACGTGCATCCCAGGAAGCTACATAGTACTGCTCTTCAAGCTCCTTGACTAGAGCAGTGATGTCCTCCACTCCATACATCCGCTTCTCGATTAATTTGATTAAGAATGCTCTCGCCCGCCCTAGCTTTGACTCCCACTCGCTCTCCCACAATTTGTGCTCGCACGGACTGCAGTCGGTCTGAAAATATATAGTGAGGAAGGATTCGGCAGTACAAGCAGCTCGAATGCTGGTTCTCGTCATCTTGTGTTTCGTACCCTTGCAGCGCGACCTTCGTAGACCTAGTAGATGCTGGCATTTGAAGAAGAAGTGAATGACGTTGCACATGGTCGGCAAGTATTGTGACTGAAGATGGAGTCCTGCCTTCGTGTACGAACGAGTTGAGTTGGAGATCCCTGTGGATGTATCGTTCAGAACGGCATAATGATATAGACGTCTCGGCGGGAAAAATAGAACTTGCACAGCTCGGTGTTAGCTTCCTTGCACGATCATGTCGGAGGCATAGCTCTCACAGAGTCGGTCGTGGTATGTCGTCAAATCCAATGGGAGCTGCACAGGGATGGAGTATATGATGTGTCACCGATTCCGAAGCAAGTACCTAGGTAGTTTGCAGTGGCCACTTGATCGTGGTAGGTGCATTCGGAACCGAGAGTAGGTACCGTCGGAACCTCCACAGGAAAGCTCGTTGTGTACTCAATCGCCAGTCGGTCTGCGTCTACAGTCGTGTGATGTTGCTATGAGGCAGGCGGTCAGTTGTATAGTGTTGCCATAGCTACCACGCAGTCACCTCACCTACGTGTGCCTCGAATCGACGTGGAAAAGCGGGGACTGTCAGGTAAAGGTGAGGGCGTTGCTGATATGCAGTCAGTCGCTGTGGCGAAGTGACGCCGGCTTCTATACCCATGTTGACGGCCAGTAGGATGTAGTGCGCACATGAGGCTGGAGATAGACGCTTGCGTGGTTGTTGAACGCGGGTAGATGTCCAGATTGTAGTCATGGAAGGAGCATCCAGTCTGACGTGACACCCGTGGACATCATTGCGCAGTCACGTGTATAGCGCCAACCGACAACTTGGCCTCTTTTCATGCCTGGAATAAAGATGGGGCGCGGACGTCGTGCAATTCTGACACTGCAAGCATTGGCATCATGCACTGACTGTGAAAAACACCAGAAATCTCATTCTATTACCACAATCCTACACCATTATGCAAGAAGAAAAGAAAATGCATCGTACTGATGACGGCGCAGCCGCATATACAACTCCCTAAGAAAACCCCGAGAAGAAATGAAAAGTGGCGTTGCGTCGTTGCACATTACGCGTGAGCGTCATTACATGTATACAAATACCCCAATTGGGCAAGTGACCCATCCAAAACGGAAGGTACGACCCTGACTGAGACCCAGACGGCGGAGAAGGGAAATTAGTAGCGCACCACGGGTGACGCGCTCGTGCTGCCGTCCTGCACCATAACACCTTCCCTGACACCCTCTTTCTCCATCTTGTGCATCCAGTCCTCTTTCTTGTCCTTCTTGTGCATCCAGCCGCTAAAGATCTTCTTCAGTTTGGACTTTTGCTCTTCCCGGCCTGGGGTCTTGGGCTCGTTGGAGAGGGTCTTCCGGGCCGTCGTATCCAGACTCATCTTACGAGAGAAGGTAGATGCCTCGGCACTCTGGTTGCTGGCAGAGTTGCTATCTCCGCTTCGTTGGCGGGTGTGGTTGCTGGAGCCTACTTCGAGGCGCTGGTCTAGATTACTAGTAGAGGACCAGCCAGTCATCGTGTTTCCGGGGTGTGTTGGGCTACCTGGGTTGGTCCTTGTGGGCTGTGAGATGGCCTTGGTCTCCTGTTTGCGAGACGACTTCCGGGCAGGGAATGAATCGTTGAATTGCATGGCCAACGTATCAGATCCGCTCTTCCTGTGTTTCTTTGCGGCGGGAGAGCGCTCCTGGTGCTGTTCTTGCGAGCGCATCATGCTTGCAATGTGTGTTGCGGCGGTTGGCGATGTGGGAGATTTCATCGATACTGTTATTTCCTCCTGAGGAGATTCTTGGTGGTCCTTCCATGTGTCCAGACCTGGTAGTGGGGGTAGCTCTCTGTTCAAGTTGAGGCCGTTGGACTCTGACTTCCTGGGCTGAGCTTCCTCCGGTTTTCCTTTCGAGGTTCCTGGTCTGCTGTTGCTTCTTGAACTCAAGCGGCGGGGTATGCCCCAGCTACGCCATCCTGAATTCGAGCCACTGCGTGAGAGACCCTGGTCGTCGTTGTCGGCTGCTGGACGAAGAGACTCTTTGGACTGCGCACGGCTCAGAGCCCGACTGCGAGAGCCTGGGAAGATGTATTCTTTAACGCTTTCCTTGACACTGGCAGCACGACTGGGTGGTCGGACTGAAGTCGATGAGCGACCACGGTGGCCCTCAGATGCTTCTTGCTGCCGCTTCTTCTCCAGCTCTCGACGCATCCATTCTGTGGCTTGTGCGTCTGCAACTGCTGCTGGGTTATCGGATTGGTGGGATAGTCGGTTCATGCTCCTGCTGTAGGGTAAAGATGCTGAGGTAGGCACTGACGACGACATCTTGGCGTTGGCGAGAGTAGATGTGACTGCTACGGGAAGGGTCACGTCTTCGTCCGAGTCATTGTGGAAGACGTTCGATCGCGGTACGTCCATAGAAGTCTTGCCGTATGACCTCAGCTTCTCCTCCCTCTCTGCGTCCCGTTCGTCAAGCCATCCGAAGTCAGCTCGCTTGCGACTGCTATTCGCGCGTGCAGGCATGTCTCCGTAGGTCCTTGCTCTGATCTCCTGGTCCGCCTTCGTGCGTGAGCGCGTCTTGGTGCTGGGTTTGCGCATCATGAATGACGTCGAAGTCGCTGCCAGCTCTGGAGGCGCGCCAGTGGGCATGCGGACAGCGACCTCAGTGGCCTGTGGTTTACTCTCCTTCCGTCGGCCGAGGCCACCAAAGTCGAGCTTGGGGTCGGTGTTCTCCATGCCATGGTCGGACGGCTTGAAGTTTTGCAGGATTTCGCGACATGCTAGGCGCAGTTCCAGATCGGTATGTTCGTCGAGAACGCGGCGGTTGATGTAGGGCGATTGGTCGCATATGCTGTCTTTGGAGGTGTGTCTCTTGTGTGACGAGGAGGGAGCCGGGTCCGGCGCGGGCTTGTCGGAGAGGTCTGGCTTGGAGGCAATCTTCTACATTGGCGGTGAGTTACTGTTGGGATGCGACTGCAGACAAAGGACTGGGGATGGAACGTACGACTGGCGCCAGATTGAAGGAGAACTTGCGTTGCTTCATGATTGATTAGAGTATGCTATATTAGGCCGAAGGCAGTGATTCGAGTAGAGTGCGGCTGCAGAGCGTGTATATGTGCTGCAAGTGCGCGACGAGGAAATGGGTGCGCGCGCGGGAAGCCGGTAGAGTATGGTCGGCTAGGAATGGCTAGACAAAGCTACTGGCGACTACTGCAAGCATGGGGGACCTGGGAGGATATGACGGAAGAATCGTGGTGATGCGCCGTGGGTTGGCCTGCATCGAATAGTGCAGTGCAGCGGGGCCAGGAGGGAAGAACTCCCAGGAAGTACGGGACAGGACGATAGGTATACTGCGCGTCGTGGTGTGCGCCGGCCCGACCAGGAGGTGTTGGAGTTTCAGAGTGGCAGCTAGCATTAGACAGGACGCAGCCGACCACCAGCCTGGAGTCTCGATGCCTCGTAGAATGATAAAGCAGCCAATCAGCCGAGTGGGCGCCTGAAGCCTCGACAGCGGCCAAATCTGCCACTCGTCAATCAAACCCTCTGTCGCCCACCCGCACGCGCCTCCTGAAGACGCCCAACAGCCACATCCCGCCATGACCTGCCCTCGCAGTCCCCGTCCAGCCAGCCCTGGACATCGGCGGAAGGAGCGATCGTGTGCCCCTTCCCAGCAGAACCAGACTATCGAAACTTAGCGGCGCTGCGACCCCACGAATAGCAGCCAAGAAGGGCCGCGGACATGAGCTCGATCCGGCGACCGCATTCCAGATCTCCATACACACGACCGCACTCCATTAAACACGAAGATGCTCCTTTTGCGCCCTGGCCTGCACGCAGCACGCCAATCGCGCTGCGTCCTTTGCTGACATTTTCCTGGCCCAGCGAACGACGGTTGGACATGCGGGGGCGAGTTTCACATCGTAAAACATTCGCCATTCACCCACCACTGCTGCCATGTCCACCGCTGCAATATTGTCCAACCTTTAATAGCAGGGGAGAGAGAAGCTTCCGCCGGCGAGAAGAAACTTCTGTCTGCCGACCCTGGCTGGAAACTTCCGTGAGAATATCCTGGGAATAACCCGACGGGCTATTGTTGTGTTGCCGTAGCGCACTGGCTTCAGGACAGGCCTCTAAACGGTCGCTTCATCCCTCCATTCCTTCTGCGTGAGCCCCCTCATCGTCATGGCATGCGTCATCCAAGCATTTCGTTTTGCGTTTCAGTGCTCCGTTATCATCCACGCTCAACCAAGCTCCAAGTTGCTCAGCCGTCTGGTTTGTGTGCGGGTCCCCTCCATGAAGTGCGTCGGCTAAAACTACCAATACTCGCCGCCCAAGCTACCACAAGATTCGCTCAACTCTCACAAACCCTCGCGGCCTTGTCACTCGCTAGGCGCGCAGATCGCAGATCGCAGGTCCACCTGTTATTGTCGCTAGGGACGGCATCGTGCGACCATGGTGCGAGATCAAAATAAGTCAACACTTAACCACTGCATCGGGTGGGTACATGAGCCTTCAATACCCTAGGCCGGCACCATGCAACGGCCTCACTACCAGTGGGTTAGCACTGCGCGGACACGAATTTCTTCAGCAAGGCTCATTTGATGCCTGGTGCGAGACGTCTAAGCATGCGACTACTGCTGTACGCTTTTCATCACGCACACAATCACGATTCGCGTCAACATTGCCTCAGAGTCTTGGTGTAAAACTTTCAATTCGACGAAATTGCGCGGCGATCCCAGTGATGTTGAAAGTTATTACTGCTGAATGCATGCTTGCCTTGCTGGTATCCAAGCGATCGAGATTGCTCGAAACAAAGGGCCGCCGCGAAACTTTGGAAGTCCGGCACTGCGACGCCTCCAGAGCATAATTGACCGGCATACGTAGTCGCTGACCAAATTCATCTCGCGCAGCCCCTATGCCTTAGTGAGCGGCCCCTCCCGTTGACATCAATCGCACACATTACAACCTTGGAATCTTGTAAAAGGTTCACGGAGGTCCCGGCAACGCCTCAACTTGTGACACTCGTCTCAACAGTGATCTCACTGTAGCAAGCTTTCGAGCTTGGACTGTTGGCTTTTGGCGATG